GGCTTCGTCCTTTCTCCATGGGCTTAATCTTAAAGATAAGAGTCAGTCCACTTACCAATCATCTCATGAAAGCGGTCAAATTGTTGACTCAATTCTATTAATCTCAAAAACATATTTTTTAACAGATCATCTTTAATAAAGAAGTTAGTAAATGAGCCGGTTTAATTTTAGTTTCAATTTTTTTTTCTTTTACTTCAATTTTTTTATGTATTAATAATAATAATAATAAAATATTATTTTAATATATTTTTAAATAAAAATATTTTACAAATTACCTAGTATATTTAAAGATAAAAATATTTTTATGAAAGTGTTTAGAGAATGTTTAAAAATATGGTGAAAGTTTTCTTTTAAATTTTTTTTCTAGATATATATTAAAATAATTTTTTTATTTTTTAAAAATTATTTTTAATATTAACACATAAAACATAAAAAAATAAGTTAAATTTAAATAAAAAAATTTAATTTTTTGTGTAAGCTTGCACCATGTTTGGTTAGTAAATTTGTGAAGCGCCAAGGGGGTGTTTTTCTCGAACATATTGCCCTTGGACTCAATTTTCTACGGGTTGACTTCGACCCAATTCAATGGGATTTCATGCCCATTTCTTAATAATCTGTACTCTGACCAAGGGCGGCTCAACAGTTCAACTGGGATAATATTAATAAATTAAATATAAATATTTAAATTTTTTATATTGAAAAACCAACACACAGTTAAAGTTGATATCAGTTTATTTGATATATTAGTTATAATTATTTTTTAAAATATTTTTTATTTAAAAATATATTAAAATAATTTTTTTATTTTAAAAAAATATTTTTGATTTTAACATATTAAAATAATTTAAAAATATTAATTTAAAATAAAAATAAATTTTTTATTTTTTTTCAAAAATATTTTTAAAATATAAAAATAAGCAAAGTGATAGGATACGTACCTTTTCATTTTGATGAGCTCGAGAATAAAGAGGAAGTTTTCTCCATCCTATCAACTTAATTAGATTTGGAGAAAATTCGATCCGATAAGGATTTGATTTATTTTTTATTGATTTTGGCAGAGAATAAAATTGACAATTAAAGAAACAAGAATAATCGATGTACTGTCCAAGTCTTTACAAATTAATTCCTCATTTAAAAAACAGAAAGAAAAAAAACCCTTCGAGAACGTTGGATTAAAAATCAACGCAGAAGGCTCGATCGAGCAGAAAGGTTCGAAGAATACTGAAAGTTCATAATAGGCTACTGCTAGTCTGCTACTTTTCAACACATCAATAAGCACTCACTTCAAGTTTTTGTGCTTTATTTGTGCCTGAAACACTACCAGAAAGCTAGTGAAAGCAGACATGTATCTTTTTCCTCGAGAAAGATTATCTTCGGTAGATGCATCCGAAGGATTCTCGGAAAGGAATTTGATTCCATTGCCCTTCCAGCCTGAAGCTCACAAGTTCGATGGGCCCAAAGCAGGAAAATCCAATAGATTCATCAACTACATGTCTTCTGATTAACGATTAATTAAAGAGAAAGCATGATTATGACATGATGTATTTTCCACTTGAAAATCTTGACATTACTGTATTCAGACAAGGCAGGAGACATGACCCAGTTTTGTTCATATGCTTTTTCGAGACTTCTTAGTGTTCGGCAGAAGAATTGCTTCTTCCTCTTGTCTATTACAACATGACATGAAGTCCAGAGATTGAGAAAAATTACTTATTTTGATCTTTATTATATTTTGCTTAAGGGGAATTAATGCCTTTTCCAGTGTAATTTTCTTTTATTCATTTCAACTCGGAGAGTTTTAATTTAAAAAATGGTACCATTAAAGTTTCAAAAATGCAATCAGCAGAAGCACTTCAATGACTGATATAGCAAGAAATTGACGAATAGCATCGTCTTGCTCACGAGTCAAAAGGGTTAATGAGGCCCCCACTTGAGTCATAGTTTACGTCAAAAGCAAAAAATGATTACCAATTGCGTTATTAAGGTAATCGTGGTTAATATAAGTGATTTATTGGTTAGATATATAATACCGGAAATAGTAAATTTAAAATTTTATAAGAGTTTTAAGGGTTTTATTTTAAAAGATTTAACATTATTTAGGATTTATATGAAAATTACTTAGAGATAAAATATTTTTTTTAACTTTAAATAATTATTTCAAGATTAAATTATTGAAAATAATAAATTATCCAAATATCTAACCTCTAACATTAATCAACACGAATCATTAATGATAAATCTTTTATTTTTTTTAGGAGGGAGATTACTTTTTTATTTTGTGTTTTAAATATTTCTCAAACTAACATAATTTTTCTCTATACTAAAAATAAAAAGCATATCATTTTATTTATAGAAAAATATAAAAACTATATAAATAATAAAACATCAATTTGTCCTTTAAACAATATCACATATATTATTTTATAATAATTTTAAAAATTTATTTAATTAAGTCCATACTTATTTTTTTCTAAATCTAAAATTATAATCTCTTATATTAATTACATTTTAGTACTCAATTTTTAAAATTTATTTATAATCAAATTATATTTAATTAATTATCATATTTTAATTTTCAATCAATAATTTTTATGGAATGAGTTCCTCAATTGAAAAGAGTTACTCCAATCAATTTTCTTCATTATGTTTCTTCATTGAATTTCATCATTAGGTTCTTTCATTGTAATCTTTCATTGAGTTTCTTTAATGAAATGAGTTCCCTCTTATGAGTTTTTCACATATGTTCCTTTAATGGATTCTTCTCGTGGGTTTTCCTAGGTCACTAGAAAACAATTTTAAGTATGTATTTTTTTATAGTTTTATTTTATCCTCTTGGTTTTTTTTTTTAGTATCGGTTTTTTTATGATTTCTCTCTAAATAAAAATTCTTTTTTCAACCATGGAGTATACTTCTACATAAGGCCTCTTTGATATATTATCCAAGATTTCCATCCCTTTTCTTATATGAAAAAAATTCGATAAATTTATTATTGTAATTGAATATTTTTCAAGTCTTTGTGTATCAATATCACAAAGACTTTGAAACTACTAATGAATCGAAATTTAACTAGTTCAAAACCTCAACGACTGTGGACCTTAAACAGTACACCTTAACCTATTTTCTGACTTTAACAAGTTTAGACAACTTACATGAGCCTAATACTCCCTTAATAGTTTTTGAGATCTCCATGTGAATCCATTAATATTTTATACTAACTAAATATGTATTATTTTTAATAAAATATAACTTAAAATATCATAAAAATAAAATGACTCTTCAGCTCCTTCTCTTTAAAAGGATAAGATTTATGAGTTATGAATACCCTCATAAATTCTTCAAGTTTTGGGTTCATAATATCTTTATTCTTAATATTTTTAGCACATATATTTTTAGAGTTTATCATTCTAAAATAATTATTTAAGTATTCGAGAGTTCTCAAATCTATAAAAAAAAACCATTTATACTTTGTACTAGATACCAACTACCATCCATCTTAGTTATGGAGAATAGATCATATTAATATAACTAAGAAATTAATTGAATATTTAATATATAAATCTTACTTCTAAATTACTTGATTTTTTTTTAACTCATCAAATGATAAACTAAAAAGTATTTTTATGTAATGCAAGAAAAGAAAACAATTTAAATAAAGGAATATATAATATTTAGAAAATTATAAAAAATGACTATAATTTTTTTTCGATCAAAAAGTGATTTTACTTTAAAAGATATACCATCTCACTAATCAATTTAATGTTAATAATTGATTTTACCTTAAAAATGATACTATTTTACTAATTGAGTGTGTGTGTATATATATATATATATTTTTTCAAAAGCAATTTTTAAAAAAATTTATGATTTTTCAAAAGCAATTTTTTTAAAATTTTTAATTTCATGTTTTTTTTAATAGCATGACTCTTGAAAGATGTTTTAATTTTATTTTACCGCAAAAAAAGAAAAATAAAAAACATAGATAAGATCATTGCTGAAAGAGTTTCATAGTTGCTTCTCTCATGAGATTTCGAAATGCTATTCCCTCCCTTCTACCCTAATGTTCATTAAGTAATTTTTAAGATCCAAAATGAATATTATAAGCATATAATATAATATAATATTTGTGGCAAATTATACATAAAAAACACATCAATACATCAATTTATAATCTTTCAAGCCATAGGTCTAAGAATCAATTGCTTTTTCTCAATCTTTAGGATTGGGGCTTGAATTACATAATCTCTCATAATCTCTCAAGTCATAGGTGATGGCCATCAAAATCAATTATCTTCTCCTGTTGACTTTTTCTCAACCTTTTGAATTCCATCTTCACCTTAATTTGGCTAGCTGGTCTTGTAATGGGTGCCGTCAACGCGTGCCACGTCAGGTCAAATAAAAGGTATATTACACGTGTCATCGTATGTGTTTCATTAGTGTCATTGCTGACGTGGGCTCTCGCAACTTTTCTGGCTGGCTTCATTTACGTTTGTTTCCTCTCCGTGACGGAGAATTTTGTTCGATTCCCCACCTTCATCTCTTCTTTGCGTGTATGCCAATCGAGCAGGAGCATAGTTTATTATACTTTTATATATATATATATATATATATATATATATGTTTTATGATTAAATCTTATGGCTAACATTTAAAGAGATTCATTAATTATTTTTAAATATACGGAGGTGCATCTTAAAATTGTTCCAAAAGAGAATCTAGTTTCTATTAACGTGCAAAGTAACTCAAGAACATCTCTTATTTTTAAAATAAAAAACTTCATCTCTAACAATTTATACCCATAACATTTATCTCTCTTTAAGATTTTTAAGAGATGTTCATCACAACTTGTGATGATGAGTGTGATTTGTAATGCTGAGATTCAACCATCATGATTGGAACTCCTCCTCTCTTTACACCTTGGATTTACATAGCCAGTAGAGTCAAAAGCAAACGGTACACATGCTTGGGATCTTGCTAGGAAGTCACTTGTCAACGCAACGATGGGAGACATTTTCAACCAGCGTGGTCAAGAAAGGAAATGTAAGAAAAAACAAAGAATGTTCTTAGTAGGTGTCACAAATGGACGAAGAGGCTACCGTTAACAATCTCTCAACTCCGTCCATAAACGACCCCATCTTCAATTCTTGAACTTCGTGACACCACTCGGCGCCGTTAAAAGCCCACGAAACCCCCTCTATCTTTCGCTCCATTGGTACCACTGAAGCCTGGCTTCTTGTTCTTAGGAACCTCTGCAAATAGCAAAACACTTCACAACCCATCAAAGGATCACATAAAAAACAAAGTCAAAATAGAAAATCAGACAAAGCTCAAACACAAATTCTTTCTTCTTTTCTTGCCCAGAAAGTTGGTTTCTTTGGTCTTTTTGTTCGTTTCATTTGTTAGATACAGTTTTGTTTTCGAGATTTATACTACCTTTTCAAGATTTGGAACTTTGAAGATTTCTGGGTTTTGGTTTCCTTGTAAGTTTAGACCTCCTTTTCTGATATTTGATTCTGTTTTATGTCTTTCATGCTTCATTTTTGTGTGATATTGCAGGGTTTTTCTTGGAAGCCTTGTAGTTTTTTTATTGAATGGTTGGTTGTAGCTTGGATTCTATTTCTTTGAATGATCGATGATTGTTCAATAAACAATTTTACTTGATTTTTTATTCTATCCTTTTGGTCCAATAAGAAGCCACATAAGTTAATTAACTCTTCATTTCTTTTTTCCTAAGCTAATTATAGTTTCTCGTGCTTTCCTTTGGAGAAAAATTCTTACCTTTTCTAATCAAGTCCTTGTTTTTATTACGTGTCTAGATTTATATTCATCGAAATTAATGTGGAGCAAATGTTGCTAGCAGTTTTATAGTTCCGGGTGCTTTCTTAGTAACTGAAATTTTAAGTGTACTGTGTATGGATTTCTGAGGTCTGTGGTTTGGTAATTTGCGAAATATTTCACTTTCCAATATGGTCTCGGAGAGGGCAAAGAAATTGGCGACAACCCTGCACTTGGTTACTGATTGATTCTGCAACAGTGTTCAGCAAGAAAGTTTGAATCGTCTTCTATGTACATAGGAAATTAGGAACATCATAGATGTCATTAGAAATGCATGAATTAGATTATGGATGTTGACAATGAAGATTCTTTTGTATTACGGCTTTTTTTATTCGATTCTGCCTCTTTTTTTTTCCTTAAAAATAAAAACGATATTTGTCTTGATCTCTCTCTGATGTTTTGCTGTACCTTAAATGTTCACAGTTTTGACTTTTGAGTAATATGGAGTTGTCTTGTAATTAAAAGAGATCGACTTAGATGTTCATTTATGTTTCTTTTGTTTTTACCAGGCTGATACATTTTTTTCACTAAAGATAAACAAGTTTGAATTCTCCAAGGAGAGTTGTAAAGCTGCCTTTAATTGCTTACAACAGAGCCTAGCCAATCTTCTGTGTTGCTAGAAGAACAATATATAGGATGGGATCACACCAGTATTTTGGGTACGGTGTCACTGGTGCGGGCCTACCCTACTCATCTTCTTATCCGTCTGTTCCTTCCATGCCTAATAGGTTGTTTGGTTCATTGAAATTAGATATAGGAAATTCAACCAGCTCGCCCTTCCCAACTGAATTTGATTGTGATACATATGCTACTACGGTAAGTGACAGCCAGGACTGCTACAGCTCCACAGAGAATCTCTCAGGTGAATCCAGCAGTTATTTTAGTAGGCTGAACCCTTCTGTGGACTGTCAACGAGAAAGTCTACAGCTCTTTCCTGGTGGCACTTCATTGCTGCAAGATGCAAGTTCTAGCCATAACATAAAACACGCGTTGCTGAAATTGGAGACTACTCTAATGGGGCCAGATGATGATGAAGATGTAAACACACCAAATACTTGTTTGGGGGGAAGTAGCAGGCCACAAACATCAGATCAGAAACCTAGGGCCTGGAGCCAGCAGCGCGAGGGTTCTCATGTTATTCAGACTCAGAAGTCTTTTGTTTCAAGGCAGAGGCAGTTCGGCGAAGGTGCTCATGTTGAGAAACGCCAAAAGGAAATGGAAGAAGTACCTTTTCATGGCATTCCATCTGGAGATTTGAAGCAGCTGTTGATTGCATGTGCTAAAGCTCTTGCTGAAAACAAGGTGAATGATTTTGATAAGTTGATTGAGAAGGCCAGAAGTGTGGTGTCTATCAGTGGAGAGCCAATCCAGCGTCTTGGTGCTTACTTGGTAGAGGGATTGGTGGCAAGGAAGGAGTCATCAGGTACTAATATTTATCGTGCCCTTAGGTGCAAGGAACCAGAAGGCAAGGACTTGCTGTCTTACATGCACACCCTGTATGAAATCTGCCCCTACCTGAAGTTTGGTTACATGGCAGCCAATGGGGCCATTGCTGAAGCATGCAAAAATGAGGACCACATCCATATAGTAGACTTCCACATCGCTCAGGGAACGCAGTGGATGACTCTCCTTCAAGCTCTTGCAGCCAGACCAGGTGGGGCTCCACACGTGCGTATCACAGGTATTGATGACCCTATTTCTAAATATGCCCGAGGTGACGGTTTAGATGCAGTTGCGAGACGGTTGACTGCGATTTCTGAGAAATTTAATATCCCCATAGAGTTCCATGGAGTACCAGTTTTTGCTCCAGATGTGACGAAGGAGATGTTTGATGTCAGGCCTGGAGAGGCTCTCGCTGTAAACTTCCCCTTGGAGCTCCACCACACTCCTGATGAGAGTGTTGATGTGAACAATCCAAGAGATGGGCTGCTTCGTATGATCAAATCACTCAATCCCAAGGTGGTCACGTTGGTGGAGCAAGAATCTAATACAAACACAACCCCTTTCCTCACTCGGTTTGTAGAAACTCTCAACTATTACTTGGCAATGTTCGAGTCCATTGATGTCAGATTGCCGAGGAACCAGAAGGAGCGAATTAGTGTGGAGCAGCATTGCCTAGCAAGGGATATAGTTAATGTCATTGCTTGTGAGGGGATGGAGAGGGAGGAGCGCCACGAGCTCTTTGGCAAATGGAAGTCTAGATTCATGATGGCAGGTTTCCGGCAATGCCCTTTGAGCTCCTATGTAAACTCTGTGATAAGGAGCCTGCTAAGGTGTTACTCAGAGCATTATACATTGGTGGAAATTGATGGAGCTATGCTCTTGGGATGGAAAGATAGGAATTTGATCTCTGCTTCTGCCTGGTATTGATATAGGAGGAGATGGAGGTATGATATACCATGTAGTTGTATTAATTACATATACTTCTCACAGGTGGGGATGGTGCATTACCCTTTTTAGGAGAGTGGGAAAACTGAGGTTAGCATTAGAAAGGTTGGCTGAGTTATATTTTTCAGTCATAGTCAATTATGTAATTCTATTGCAATTAAATAACATCCACTTCCTATATAGAGCTGACACCATGTCAATGTTTATCTTGAGGATGAGGTCCATTTCCTCTTTTTGTTGGAAGCATATAATGGTTGGACTTCTTGTTATGTCGCTTTTATAGAGAGACATCCTGAGGAACAGTTCTAGCCATTACATGTAATGGTAAGTTAGCTGACTTAGATCGTGCTTAAGGTTGTGGTCTAGTGGGGAAAGAGAACTTGTTCCCTTGTTTTGCATTCAAGTTTGATTTTTTTGTGTGTATATTTATCATCTCTGCGGTGTCTTAACTGTCCACTTGATTTGCAGGATATTTAGTAAACTAGAAAATTGATTGTAGTGTATATAAACTGATCCGGACATCTTGGATTATCAACAAAAACAAAAAGGTTAGCTAACCTAGATTGAGTGCATATAGTATAGACCGAGAAAATCAACTAATCATAACCTTATAAACTTTATAAAAATTTATGGTTTCATAAATAATTAACTCAGGTAAAATCATATCAGGATATTATCAATTCTTTGTGCTAATTTAAGTATGTAATAATATCGTGCTAATTTAAGCATGGTATGTATAAAATAATATCTTATGTAACGAGGATATGAGTATATACTAGGATTAATATCTAATTCAAAAAATAATATGTAAATAATAAAGATTTGATATATGAAATGCAACATATATGAATCAATATATATACATTCAAGAATATAAATATAGATAATGTAAATAATAAATATTAATTAATTTAGACAAATAATTATAAAATATGCACAAAAGGACAATATGCACAAAACACACTGGACATGTTATCATAAAAATCAAACATACAAATCAAACATACAAAGCTTATTGTAAAATTAATTAGCTTGTTTCTTTTTAGAATGACAAAATGGTCACCACATTAAAAAATGTGATGGGGGCTACATGGGGTATGGGAGCTACATCGGGTATGGAAGATTCACTATAGCCCTCTTATATTTTTCTATTCGCCATTATAATATGTGATCATTTTGTCATTCTCATAGAAGAAAAAAAAATGAATGCCTTTAAATTAGGAGAATTCTTGTATTTTTATAGAGTTTAAGCCATTACTAACTTATTTGGAGTATTTTTATTCATTTAATGTTTTCATAAACAATAAAATAATCAAAATACTTCAGGAGCAAAAAAATTAAGTGTTGTCATAGGTATTTTTCTTTTTTATACATAGTAAAATCACATAATAACCCTTAGATACAAAACATTTAATTTATTGTTGTCAAGGATATTTTGATCTTTTAACCTTAGTTTTGTTTTGGTTAATTGTAAGTTTGGTTAAGAGTAGTTAGATAAATTATTTATCATTAAAATAATAATTTTTAATATATTCTCCAGATCTAATTAGTGTATTGTCAATGACTCTTTTTGATCCTTTTATTTCTTTCTGTTACCCATACAAAAACACTATGTTCCTTGTTTTTATGCTCTTTTCATTTTTATCGTTCAGACAAGAAGCCACAAGTAAAAACACTTTTATTCATTTTTTTTTCTGTAAAATTATATTTTTCACCACCATTCTTCTTCAAATCAAATTAGTTTCACATTCAAATTTATAATGTTCATACATGTGACATCTAAAGCATTTAACTTTTGATTTATCCATTGGTTTTGACTTGTAAGAAGTTGAATGATTATTATCATATTCGTTTCTTCTTCTTTGATAATTAGAAGGCTGATTTCCTTAAAATTCTTTGATCTGGATGGTGATTCAATTATTCCTTGAGAAATGAGTTGTCAATACTCCTTTGATCTTAAAAAATTCTCTATTAACATGATTCAATGATCATAATGACCATCAATGCAATGGAATGGCAGGTTGAACAAAATTATCAGAAGCCATGGATTTGTTTTTTTAAACTGCGGCTGAAATTTTTCTTTCTTTTAAAACACTGCCGCTGGATTAAACTGGGCTAAGGATTGAGCTGCTACCAATTCTACTGCTGCTGGGAGGACTTCGTCCACTCCAACAATCGTTTACCAAATAATTTCAAAGAATGAAGCTGCTGGAAATTTTATAATGGGAAAATATCCTGCTGTGAATAAAGACAGCTGCTTGAACTGAGTAGCTGCTGGGAGGACGCATGTTTCTGCTGCTCCCGCTTAAGGCAACTGCTGCTGCAATGCAAGGGAATGTTGCTGATTTGGACAGGTACTGCTGGAAGGAATTACTGCTGGACGACTGCTGTTTTGAGCAGCTGCCGCAGGAGGAGATTCTTCTACTGCCACTCGTCTGTGTGTTTGCTGCTGCTGCGCTGCTACTCTCATGAAAGGAGAAGGCGGCAGCTACTATCTATGCCGTCTTTTCACGTTAACCTTGGAGCTGCTAGTAGCTGCTGTTTCGTGTGGAAGCTACTGAATTGTTTTGAAGCTGCTTGCTGGGAGAACATTCTTGCTGTCAATAAAATTAAACAAGGCTGCTGCTTGTAATTTTGGAAACTAAAGCTACTGCTTCTTTCCTGCTGTATGCGTTGAAAATAGACTTCCTTTTCGTGTGTGCTGCTGCTGTGAAGGAGAGAAAACTCTGCTGGTTCGCGTCTATTGCGCGCGCGCGTTTTGCTGAGAAGCTGCTTCCTCGTCTCGTCTACTGCTACCGAAAGCGCTGTTGTGTTTTCAACTGTCAAAGGAGAAAAAAGGCTTCTGTGTTAATTAATATAAACTCTAATATCAATTTTCTGAAGCAGATACGATACAACAGTGTTAAGAACCCAAAACAAACCAACAATTTAAAAACACTAATCAATTATATAAATTACCTTATATTAAAAATAAATAAAAAAATATTGGCTTGATGTATTCAAAGGAATTGATTTTTTCTTTTTTTATGCTAACACTAAGTCATGAACTCATAAAATCAAGGAAAAGAACGTACATTCAAATAACGCTTATGGTATTATTTTTTAAGCAAGAAGAAAATTTATAAAATACTGTAATAATCAATTTTAAATAACGCTTATGTAAATAATTCTTTAACTGTAAATATGATCAATCAATTATAAAACAGAATATCTGTAATCTTAGAACTTCAAGATTGTTATATTCAAATAATTATTTAAAGAGAGCCTCCTTTCATCCATAGAAAACCCTTTAAGAAAATAAAATTTAAATGTAATTTGACAAAGAAAACTATGTTTCTCTTCCAACCTTTAATATTTTCACTTAAGTATCTTATGGCATAAAACGTACAATTATGGTGATATAGAGAGGATTAATTTTCTTAATACACTTTTAAATATCACAAATCTATCAAGTATGCAATAATTATATAAAAAACTACTTTTAAAATGATCAATAAAATTTTAAGATTAATATTTATTAAACAATTTAAGATTCATTATTTCATTCATATGGATCACATCTTATTTTCTTTTACTTGTCCAAATTATATTATTTTAAACACATACACACATTAATATAATGCCAATAAAGTAACACAAAAACCTTACATGCATTAATCATGTCGTGACGTAACAATAATCATTCTCTTAAACTATGATTATTAGAATGAAGGATGGAAAAAATAAAAAATTCATATTTTTTATTAGTAAAAAAAAGATGAAGGATCATTCTCTTAAACTATAATCATTAGGATGAAGGATGGAAAGAACAAAAAATTCTTGTTTTTTATTACTAAAAAAAAAATGAAGTCATCACCTGATATTTTGATCACTAGAAATTTTAGTTGATGTTAGAATCTAGATAAATGGATTGATTGTGTATAGGGATAACGTGACATCCTTAGTACACATCTTATGTATCATTCCGAGTACATATCTTATTTAAAGTAAGCTGTAATGTTTATTTGTTTTTTTAATACACTTTTAAATATCACATCTTATTACATTCTCTAATTGTTGGTCTATTTAATAGTTAAAGCTAGTTCACCTTAGTGGAGTGAACCATAGTTTTAAGAGTCATGTTTAGTCATTTTAAATTCAAAACATAAAAATAATTTTTTATTTAATATTAGAAATACAACTTATATATAAGTTCATAATCCCAGATATTAAAAGAAATAAAATATCTTTTTAAAGTTTATGAAATGGAAGCTAAATTCTCAAAACTTTAATAAACTAGTTGTTAAATTCAATATACATAAAAAATAAAAACCATTTCCTTGAATTTTTTATGTGTGTGTTTGTGTTTTTCTTTTAATTTTTAAGAGTTTTGACCATATACAAAAATCAAAATATTTAAATGAATTTTTGAAAGAAATATTTTTTATTTTTTTAAATAATAATAAAAAAATAATTTATTTAATATTAGAAAATATCTTATATATAGATTATAATTTCAAATATTAAATATGCGAGAATAAATTTTTTTACAAAATGATCCTCATAAATAACAAAAATAATAATGCTTCGTTCGCCTAGCAAACCTTAAATACCAAAAATTACATTTTTTTTTTATTTGATAGAATTAGGCCTTGCTATAATCAACCTTAGATCTAAAAGACTGAGCGTGGTCACTTGAAATGGGTTTCCTAGCCAAGCCCAGAAATAATACAGGCTTCAGTTAAAGAGAAACATGTGGGCTACACAAAATGCAGTGATCATCCAAGAAAGGGAAACTGAGGCTCACGGCTGGAGCGAGGCTGATGCTCACAGTTGTTACAAAGAAATAAGGCTGTTGAGACTTGAAGCCTCTGCTACATGTTCACAAATGAATCAAATGCTGCTCACGGCTGCAACAGAGGCGGTGCAACTGCTGCTCGCGGTGGAGTCTGTTACTGCTCACTGCTTCGGAGTGTTAGGAGATCCAAACATTCAAACACACACAAATTTACGTGGTTCGGCAACTTGCCTACTCCACGGAGCTACTGATTTGTATTAATCAAGCTCAAAAGCAATACAAACAATAAAACAAGGAGGAGGAGAAAATTTCTCTACTCAACTCAACTCTCACCCTTAGCTCTCTCTCTGTGTTTCTCTTTATTTCGTGGTGATCATCAGCTATCAATGGCACTCTCTATTTATAGCTGATGTGGGAGACAAGCTTCTTCTTTAGTCAACAATGGTGGGCAACAATTTCTTT